TTTGAAAGTCTGGCTGGTATGACAGGTTCCTCAGAGAGAAAGACATCTTGAAGCAAAGAAAATCTTTTCTCAAGTGTATGTCTTCAGGGATTCATCATAAGTCACATAACTGTTAATATATTTATGATGATAGAATGTGAAAATGTTATAGGTAGACATCAACTTCCAAAATGGCTGTGATTTAGAGCTGCAGGTGTTGCTTTTGTAAATTTAATACAGTTCAGTGCCGAAAGAGGAGACAGTGTGAAAAATTATAAGCAGATCTACTAAAGCATTTATGTCAATAGTCTGTACTGAAGAAAGCTTTGTCAACGTCCGTGACTTATCTTTCCACTTCTGTAAAACATGGTACAGATGTAACTGTCTAATCTGACTTTTAGTCACAATATTTAGCTACCTGAAAGATAAAATATAATGTAATGGTATACATTTCCCCTTTTTCAGTCTTTCTCAGCTTTGGAACAGTGAGCCTTTGAAAGCAGATGACATACTCAATTATTATCAAGTAATTTTTTTATCTGTCATTTGATCACTTGTGACAGCAAATGAAATGTAAAATGACTAAACGTGCACTACAGAATTAGCCTGCAAAGTTTAATAGTTATTGTAGTGTATCCAACAAACAAAATGTAAATTATCTGTCAGAGGATTCTGAATAATGTTTTTATGCTTTTCAGATAAGATCAGCCAAAGTTCTGCTCATGTCACATTTCTATAATATCTTTCAGAATATTATACATCATGTCGTGCTGAAATAGGAATTCTGAACTCCAAGTCCTGCTGTAAATTGGAGTTCTAGGGGAAAAGGGTAATGTCTTAGTGTGTTTTAGTCATAGCTTCAAATGTTCGCAGATCAGAATTTCTCCTTTTGTAAATCAATATAATTTCACTAACTTCAATGGAGCTATGCCAAGTTAATAGCAGCAGATGAATCCAGTCTTTTTTTTCTATCACAATTCACATTTTCCTCTAAAGATTATTTTGGGCTCTACACTGAGCAAACTGTTGTGATTGTGAAACTGTTATCCAGAGTTCAGAAAAGAAGAGTTCTGCAGGATGGCGACAGCGAAAACCAGTTCTTTTACCTTGTCAATTTGTACTGGCTTTCTGTTTGAAGAACTTATCCCATAGTTTCCCAAGTCAGAAGAAAACAGTGATAATTTACTCTGACTTTCTATATACAGAGAGGTCATCACAATTTCTGGGCTCAATTCTTGTGTGAACTACAGCAATTTTTAAAGGAAATCATCCTGTCTCAATTAGACATTAAAAGTACTGACACTTCTCAAGTCATACTGGATGAATGTTACTCTCCCTTTTTATCTGCTTGCATGTTTTTAATCTCATTTTTAGTGTGAATATGTTGAGCTTTAATCTGGGACCCTGAAGAGTCTGTTCCTGAAATCTTGTTCCTCACATAGGTACTTCCAGTTAACAGCTGATTCACCCCTTAAAGCATCTCTTTGATACACTTGTTCTACCACAGTTAGATTGAGCTCCAAAAATCTCCTCTCCAGAAGAGTAATATAGTCACTGGGGCAGTCCAGTGAGTGACATCTATCATGAAGTCATCTCTGAGAATACAGATTAAGAGCCAGGTGGCTTCCATATTTTTCAGAGAATACCAAACTACTTTTAGACAGTAGTAACTAATGGTCACTTGTGTTCCGAGGTAGCTGCTGAGCTAGAAAAGAAGGCATTTGTTATCTGTCACCTCAGGTACCATCGTTACCAGGGCAAAAAATTTCTGGGCCTTCTTTCAGTAGTGAAATTATTATGAGTTTATCTTTGACATCACTGGCAACAGAGAAGTCTCATAAGATGGAATTCATCTCATCTTGCTTTAAATGTCTAAATCTGATCTAATACTTACGTACTTTTTATAGTCAGTAAAAGATAAATAGGCACTTCTATGGCACATCACTCCCATCCAAAACTTGACAGATAAATGTCACCTAGCTTGAGTGTTTCAGGTAACTGTAGGGGAGATTTCCATGTTAAATCTCCCTATTTAACATGAGACAAAGAAGACTGATGATGCAATTCAGTGGAGGTCCCACAGGAGTATGATATGAACAGAGAATGAGGAAAACAAGAGCCCAGAGTAAATCTGAAGAAAGTGCGAAACCATAAAGAAATCAAAGAAAGACAAAGAAGTTCTTGAGAGATAAAGACATCTGCAAAACCCAGAGGTGGAACTATACAGGGTTGGGAAGTATTTGCTGTAAGAGTGCCGTGGCTCCGGCACCCTTTGGAGAAAAGTAAGTCCAGAACTGCTGGAGTCTGTGAAAATCACAAACCCAAAAAGCCTTGGCAAGCAACATTTGTTTCTTATTATCGGGAAATATTTTGCAGTTGGGAAAGATATTGTCTGGATGGTTTTGCCACTTTAAGTTCTCAGAGGAGGAAAAAATACTTCAGGGAAAGGCCCTGCCCTTGCGCTGTATATGTATATTCACCCATATAACTACATTTTGTATTTGAACTTGTAACTACTACCACAGCTACTGCACTTCAATTACTCTTTATGTGGGATTTTTTTCTTTCACTCCATACACACACATATGTAAAAACATACGTATTTATTAAAAGACAAAGCTGCTATTGTCACAGAAGTAGGATACAACAAAAGGAAAAAATACTGAATTCAGTAATAGCATTTCCCATCCTTTTACAGTACTACATAAAAAAATCCATAAATTCTGAGCAGGTTTAAAGGGAGATTACTGCCCACTGATAGCTCAGTCTCAAAAGATATTTTTTCTAGATTAAAAATAAAACAATAAAGATTATAATATAATCCTGGTAGCAGATTTTTACATCTACATCCAAAGGACGTGCAGGTTTATTAAAGAACAGTGCAATGTCTTAAAATGTGAACCAAACCTTTTACTGAGCTGTACTGCCGACTCCACTGCTGCAATCAATACTCCAAACAGACCTATTTTTCTTGGACAAAAACCATACATATATCTGACATTTGTGGAAGCCAGGTGAATAAATCAATAGCTAAACAAAAATGCACTTAATCATATCTATTCTGGACAGATGCAGATTGGAAAATCCTATATGGTCCATGTATTGCCTTCTGCTTAATGCTGAGAAAAGAATCCATGCTTCCTAAATGGCAATGTCCTGTTGCTAGAGCACTGGAAGCTGGAGTGATTACAGGAGCAATTAACTCTGTGCCAGCCAGCATTAGACAGATCTATTGCTCAAACTTAAGTTCAGGTATAGTTTGTTGTTAGACTACTTTAGCTTAAATACATAACTTAATAACCAACAACTATGTACTTTTTAAGTGTAACAGCTTTACTGGAATATATAGCAAAGATTCACACATTCACTTTAACCTTAAATCTACTGGGCTGCATTTTCTTACCTTGAGTTATCCCAAGGAGGAATTTAATATATATACATACTTTATCTTTCCTTAACAGTTTTAAGCAGCAACCATTATTGGACATTTCTCATGGAGTTGCAGGTGATCATTAACCATACATAATAGCCCTCCTAAATGAGTATAGAGAGCTTTAATGCCAAAAATTTCTATGTTCGGAGGTACATTTGTGCACAGAACGGCTGCTATGCTTAAAGGTGCTCCTTTACTTGACATTACTTCATAAAGCCCTTTGAGATAACCACAGTGTGAAAGATGTTTTAGAAAAATAGTTTTATTTCTTCTCTGCTTTAGCCCTAAGCGGTTCAGTGTTATTTGAACATCAGCAACACCACTTCTTTACAACTTCAAAGTCCGACTCTAACCTCAAATTGGCAGTGCACCTCAAGATTAAAAATCTGCCTGGCACTGGAAGAAATGGATGTTTTCAGCAGAAAGAAGAGCAATAGGAGGTAACAACACGACAGTATAATATCACTCAATTAGAAGGTGTATTAAGGTTGCACTAAGGTGCCTGACATGAATGCTCTTACAGGAAACACTTTAAGAAAGGCGTGAGGAAAAGGATGACACTATTAAGCGTGGGAAGAGTTTTGTAGCTGTTATTAACCTGGAAGAAGGGTGAGATCCCTCCCAACTGACCTTTTCAGAGAAAAACCTCCATGTCAGGCGCTCTGCAACCATGAGGCCCATGCAATGTCTTTTATTTTCAAAACGTGTAATCCTGAAAAGAAGAAAATGCAAATAGATGTCTGAGGTATTTTATTTTACACCAGTTACAGCTGCTGTTAAGGAACACTTCTCCTCAGTAAGAAAGAAGAGTGTCTCTGCATTGGAGCCAGCCTAAGACACGGAAACTGGGAAGCAGCTACTGGTGTTTTGGGCTCCTGCTCGTATAACAGCAGTTGGGGCTGGGTGCGACAGGGCTGCTCAGCAAATTTAGTCCTCCTGCTGTCCCCCCACAGTCAGCCCCTGTTCCCGGAGGAAGTGGAGACTGCTCTCCATTTTTATTTTAGGCTCGTTATCGCAGAGTTCGATCAACTCAACAAGCGCCTCCATCCTGCTGACATGCAAGAAACTGCTGTTGTGATTTCACCTGTTTTGACGTTCTCCTTTTGAATTCTCCAATAAATGCAACACTGCGTGACTCGGCGCAGCGCATTCCGTGCGGCACCGTACGGGATGCGCACCTGGGCTGCTCGTCATCTCCACACTCGCCCCTCTCTGTGGCGACCTGCGCCACGCAGCCGGTGGGACGACATCCGAGGGGCCCGCAGGCGAGAAAGGGGAGGGTCGGGTGTAACTCACCCAACTTCACAGCCGGCCGGCGGTTCCCGTCAGGCGGGCACCGCTCGCCCGGCTGCGGGGTCGCCGACTCCCGCCCGCCGCCGCGGGGGCTGAAGGGCGGCGGCGATTCCTCGTGCCTCGCCCCTCAGCTTCCCGCCCTGGCCTCCGGACTCCCCTCAGCCGCGCGCCGCCAGGGGCGGGGCGGGGGGGGCCGCGTCCCCTCCCCGGCGGCAGCGCAGCCGCGGCCGCGGGGACCGGGGCGAGGCTCGGGGGCAGCGGGTCCCTCGGCGGGCGGCAGAGGGCGCCCCGCGTTCCGCCAGAGCGGGGCCGGGAGGAGCCTCCGGCGCGGCGCGGCGCGGCGCGGCCGGGAAAGGGAGGGAGGGACGGAGGGAGCTGCCACGTCCTCCACGCCGAGCGAAGCCAGCCCGCGCCTCAGCCCCACGTGTGGCGGAGCGGGGAAGTTGCCGGCGGCCAGTTCGGGCTCCGTCCCTCTCCCGCCGCTGCCCGTCCCTTCGGTAAGCGCAACTCCAAGTAAGGGTACGCGGCGGCCCGCTCCCGCCCGCTGTCCCGGGGGGGCGGGGGGAGAGTGAGGAAGGCCGGCGGGGCGGGCGGCGGCGTGCGGGGGGGCGTTGGGAAGGAGGCGGCGGGGAGCGCTGAGGGGGCGCGGGGCGATGCCGCGGGGCAGCGGGCTCGGCTCCCGGGCGGGCCAACTTCCTGCGGACTTTGGCTCCGAGCGCTCCTTCCCGGGGCAGCGGCCGCGGTTAAAACCGGAAAGTTTTAAAAGCCGGTGTGCGGGCCGGGCGCCGCGGCGGAGAGCCGGGAGGCGAGCGAGAGCCGCCGCCTCAGCGCCTGTGGCGAAAAGGGAGGGGGGGGGGGGCGGCTTGGGGCGCCCTCCCGGCGTCTCGGCGGGGCGGCCCCGCTGCCGGCTGGTCCCCGGCCCCGGAGCGGAACCGCGGCGGGCGGGGGGCGGCGGCGGCGGGTCCCGCCGCGGCGGGCGGGGAGCTCAGGTGTGCCGCCGGGGTGTCGGAGCGGGGAGCCCCGCCGGCGGTCTCGGGTCGCAGCCCCTGAGAAGCACTGCTGAGCGATTAATGAAGAAAATAACTCCTAAAAAGACTCGCAGAAGACTTTCAGGGTTTGTGGGTTTGCCTTCCCCCCCCCCCCCCCCCCCCCCCCAATTTCGGCTCCCCGGTCGCTCGCACAATTGTGCTGAGAAACGACCGAGACCTGTGTTTAATCACCCTTTTGAAAAAAAATCTCAAGAAAGCATTAAAAGGTGACCCAGGAAAAAAATTAAGATAATCCCTTCTGAATGTAAAATTGTGGCTTTTGTCTGTTTTTTTTTTTTTTTTTTTTTTTTTTAAGCACTGTGCCTTCATTTGTGTGTGTTTTGTCCATGCGATGTGCTGACGTGAGTTCGGTTCATAGCTTTTTGGTTCTCCTTATTGTTGGTTATCTAAAAAAAAAAAATTATTTTCTGTTATGTTTCTAAACTGGTTATGGTTCAAGCCTTCTTCTAAAGCAGTAGAGAAAATAAATGTTCTCATGTCACAGAGATTTCTGTTCCGAGGTCTTAATCCTGCCTGAAATTTCTATAAGCTTTTTAACCGGTCTGTGTGGTACCACCCTGGGCTGGGACCTCCTGGGGTATCCATGTTTCTCTCAATTTTGAAAGTGTGATTGTCAGTTATTTTTAGCTTTGTTAAAAATTTCCTCCTTTAAATGAACCAGGAGTCTTGTAGGAATTCCCTGATGCCCTGTTAAAAAAAAAAAAAAAAAAAGTGAAATGAGTTTCTCATTAGTACATTTTTAATAACTTTTTTGCTTTCCCTCTCTCTCTTAACTGCCTTTTAGTAGCCTATTTATAACATACAGATCTCCTAGACTGAATTTAAGAAAAAATCTGATTGTAGACCCTTCTCAACCTTTGTAGGTAGAAATTTCACTGATCTTTGTCAGATAAATGAACAGCTCCTTGTCACAGCAATTTTAGCTGCTGCTTTCCCTCGTGCTTTGTGGGAAACATAGAAGGGACATCTACCAACAGGAATTTTGGGTGCAGCTGTCAAATACCCCTTACTGCATGGGAGACTCTAGGAACTACGTTTTTCTTTAGTGCTTTTTCCATCATGGACTTGCATAGGTTTGCTTTTCTGCTGAAGAGGGTTTTGGCGGAGCTGTTAACTACAGATGCAGGGTGATACAGAAGAGGATGGACAGCACTGGCAGACATACAGAGATAAAGACAAGCTATTTACAGAGTAGGACATCTTCGGATGCTGCCAGGGTGGACATCAAAAAGCCCTCCTTCTAGGGAGTCCTTAACAGATATAACACCCTTTTGGGATGTGACTGGTGTTCACAGACTGATGGGACTGCTTTGTGTGAAACATAAGATATTTAGCAGTGGCCGCATGCCCTCATCTTCTGTCTGTGGAGCTTTGAGGCTACCGCAGAGCATCAGACCTGTGTGGAAGTTGCCTTGTGTGAGGGGACAACCCTCAGTCACACTCTTTAGCTGACCACTGTTTTTTTGCTGCTTATTTGGAGGTGTGGACAGTAAAAGTGGACTGTTTTCTCACTGGTTGCTGCTATATTGCTAGCAAAATAATCTCGATTTTTTTTTTTTTTTTTTTTTTTTAAATCTAATCATGTTTTTCCATGCATTAAATAGACAGTGAAATGCTTTTGAGTATATGTAAGTTATACATTCTGATTAGGCGATACCAACTGGCTTATGGGACAGTAGATAGACCATACACTAAATCTTTTGGCCATGGCACTTAATGTGTAATATAATGCAGTTTCCTTGTTCATTTTTGTTACAAATTTTCCTTCTCCATCATCATTCTCCCTTGCCTGTTACTTTGAAGTCCAACAAGGCTTGTCCTAATGGCACGTGCACTGCCAAGAAGCAGTGCTGTGGAGCAGCTGAAAGAATTTCTTTAGGAAGAGTCACCGGAGGCCTGCCCGGTTTCATCAGGTAGCACTGCTGCCAGGAGGGCTGCACTCAGAGGAAGATACATTGATCTTTTACAGTAGCATCAGGATTTGAGGGAATTGAGCACTAACTCTTTCCGCTGAATTGGGCTGTGTTTTGCTTTTACTGTCACAGCTGTGCCCCAGCTACTCCCAAAGCCATCTGAGCCCGCTGAGGATGGATCTGGCATCGCTTCATTCAACTACTTTGGTTCAGGTGCTCCAGAATGAAACGATCTCTGTCTCTGTACTAGTCTTTCCATCATTCACTGCAAGAAGCATCTATGGGTGGATTGATGTCCATGATGTCCAGTAGCAGTTTTGCCAATCTGGATTTCTCTTTTTTTTGACTGATGATGGAAATCCTATCATGCTTGGAGAAATGTCCTGGAGAGATTTTGGCTGCTGTCTTCTCTGGAGATCCCCTAAGGTTGATTGCTGTACAGGGCCACCAGACCACAAGTAAGACCACAAGTTCTGTAACCAGGTAGCATTTTTTTTCTCACAAGGTAGGAGATCCTGAGGGGTCTCCATGATTGTGCTGTTCTTTGTTGTGCCCTTTTTTTTTTTTTTTTTTTTTTTTTTTTCTTTTTAATTATTGCAGTATCAGCTTTCCAGTAAGTGCTCCGTAAAGCTGAGAAGTTACCTTCCTTTCTGCCCATTATGGGAAAGAGTTACGTTGACAGATGTGGGCTCTGTGAGGATTTGCTGAGCTCTTATTCCTGTTTGTGGCTAATAGGCCATGCTAATGTGGAAGGGCATCTCTTTCAGTATATAAAGGTCTTAACTGCTTGCTACCTTAGGGAAATGTGCTGTTAAAATGCAGTAATTGTCTTAACAGTAGTGGAAGGCCATGAAGTTGTCAACAGTGCAGGCTTCCTCCCTCAACTTTTTTTTTTTTTTTTTTTTTCTGGAGAGAGAGACTTTCACTTGTTAGGACAAACTCTAAAATAATTGCTGTAGGCAATAGAGGAAGCAGGCTTTGTATTTTGAATGTGGCAAACAGCCAGAGATCAGGTATTTGTGAGCCCTTTAGGCACACCTATATCTTGAAGGGATGAGAATGTGTGATATTCTCTTTGTTGTCTTTTGTCCTTCTGCTAGTTTAGTTTCTGGTTTGGTTGTTTTTTTTTTGTCTTCTCCATCCTGCTTCGTTTGATTTCTTGTACTGTTTTTAGTTGCAAGGAAGTTAGTAATTTTTTTCTCTCTTTAAAATGCAAGCTCTCTGCTTCTAGATGTCAGTGTGCCTAGGAGCTTCTGACCACTTTTGTCATTGGAAATCTCATAGTGTTTCTAGGAGCATAGGGCATCCCCCAATTCTGTATTAAAGTTCTGAAAGTATAAGCATAATTTTAAGTATATTAGCAGCTTGGCAGAGATTTCTCTGTCTAGTCCATCAGTATACTGGTATACTGGTCAAAACAATCTAAATAAACAGTGACAAGACTTTCCTGTGCAGTTTCATGCGAGTGTAGGAAAAGCCACTTTCCACCCTGTTGTAATTAATGTAAGTAGATAGTCTATGACACAACTTACCTAATTAAAGTTATTTAAGCAGCTGCTTTGTTGAAGATGGGGGCTACGTTTTTGGGATCAAAGGAGTTATGTTGTATAGTTTGCTGGTGAGATTCTTCAGGGCTAAAAAGCTTCTGAGCAAAGTAACTGCTTGCCTTCCTGTTTTCTAATATACAATATTAAGGGCATGTGCAAGACAAGAACCCTAGTTCCATGTTAACCAAACATTTGGTGGAGGATGTTGATAAAACCAGAAACTGGGGCTGGCTTTGTAGATGGAAGACGGAGGGTAAGTGATTTGTGACACTGACTTGCAGTATGCAAGGCACTTTATTTTTAGGTTTCTCTTGAGCAAAGGTCTCTAACAGTGTCAAAGTGCCTGTATTTGCCCCTTTATGGCCCATAGACTAAGGGAATGGTATCTGTGTGTATACATCAAGAAACAGGAAAAGGGTTGTTGATGAATTAGGATGTATTGGAAAACATGGAATCTGAGCATAATGTAAGTGGTATGGAATAAGAGGTGGATACTGTCCTGGTTTCAGCTGGGATAGAGCTAATTTTCCTTTTTAGTAGCTAGAGTAGTGCTGTGTTTTGATTCAGTATGGCATTTGATATGAGAAGAATGTTGATAATACACTGATGTTCTCAGTTGTTGCTAAGAAATCAAGGACTTTTCAACTTCCCATATCCTGCTAGTGTGCAGGTGCACAAGAAGCTGGGAGGGAGCAGAGCCAGAGCAACAGACCCCACTTGGCCAATGAGATATTCTATAGCATGTAACGTCATGCTCAGTATATAGAGGAGGGTTGGTGGGGAAGCTGGCTCTCTCGCTCTTCTGGGATCACGGTTTTGAGATTGTCTCTTTGGGATCGGTAGCCGGGAACAGGCTGGGCATGGGTTGTCGGGTGGTGAGCAATCGTGTTGTGCATCACTTGTTTGTATATTCTGTTATTACTATAATTATTATTTTAGTTTCAACTATTAAATTGTTTTTATCGCAGCCTGTGAATCTCCTTACCTT